GGGGGGGGGGGGGGGCGCAAGATGCAAGTCCACACGCGTGCACGCGAGGTTTGTCGTCGATGGTGCAAGTCAAAGGCTGAATCGAGTTGTGGCTCGAAAGCGTTTAATCGCCCGGGTATGTACCCGTAGGTGCTATGGAATACAACAACAACGATACCAATACCACCATCACCACCACCAGCAACAACAACGACAACTGCTACTGTGCCCTCTTTTTAAATGCCTCTTTCTTGTTTTTTTTTGTTCAGGGGTTCGTCGACGTGTTGTCGTCGGACAACTCGGAGCACGCTGCGATCGCGAACATGGCCAAGAAGATGTACGGCTTGCAGTTCCACCCAGAGGTATGTGCAATCCGTTCGTCTTATAACTCGTCGTACAATTCGTCTTACAATTCGTCTTACACTTCGTCTTGCGATTGGTCTTACACTTCGTCTCGCACTTCGTCTTACAGTTCGTCTTACAATCCGTCTTACAATTCGTCTTACAATTCGTCTTACGATTGGTCTTGTGTCGCGGACGAGCGACGAATCGCTCGCGTGTATTCCGCTTACCGCGCGCGGGAATGCGTGCATGTACACAACGAGGCGGTGATGTTGTCGTGTGCTCGCCATGCCGCACCCCAAGGCCTGTACAAGTCTTGTGTCGCTGAAGAGCGGTGAATCGTTCGCGTTCGGCCTTCCGCCCCGCCCGCAAAGCAACACCCCGTTTCCCCTCCGTACGTGCCCGACTGTGTGGCTGAAGCATACGCCCCACCTTCTTCACTGTCCAACAAATATATGCCGTAGGTAGCATGACGTAAGATATCACACCCCTTGGACCGATTTTCAAAGCTCGATCTCTCAGTCGGCAGGAAAAACAGTGGCGGTGCCGAGAACGGCGGGAGGCGTTGTAACCGTCATCCTCTTCGTCGTGGAGTAATCGAGCTTTAATTAATAATCGGTCCAGGGGGTGTGGTATGTTATGGAACCTACGGTACAACGCTCACTATGTAGTACTGCGTACATGCGTACACACGCAGGCGGATGTGGTGTTGTCCTGTGAAGTAGATACTGTAGCAAGCTGCACGAGGGGAAGCGAACACTTCGTTCTTTTTTTTTTTTGGTTGTTGTTGGGGCAGCGATTGCACTCAGACTCATAATATAAAGTATGACACGGGTTTTGAAGGTTAGCGTTGGTGGTTAGACGTGTTTCATTAAAAGTAGTAGAAACATCAACATTTTTTTGCCCAATTTTTTCCCTGTTCGTTTAATTTTTGTTTTTGTTCACCGTTATTTCTGCTCCACGCGCGTGCACCTGTTGTTGTCAGGTAACACATTCTCCCCTCGGCAAGGTCATCCTCGAGGCATTCGTCGTTGATATCTGCGGGGCACCCACGGACTGGAACATGGCCGACATCGCAGACGAGTTCATTAAGGAGGTAGGTACATACATTGTAGATGTTGCTTTCTTTTTGGATGAGTTTGGTTGGCATCCTTCCCTTGCGGTCTCTCTCTCGCTCGCTCGCTCCCCCCGTCTCTCTTCCTCCCTCCCCCTCTGATTACTGTATTGTTTCAGCGTGCGCTTTTTTTCCGTTTGTCATGTCCACGTTTCCTCTCATTTTTTGTCAAATTTACATTGCATTCCCTTTTTTTTTGCTCTCCCCAACCATACCGAAAGGTGCGGGAACTCGTGGGGCCGGAGGGACAGGTGATCGGAGCGGTCTCCGGCGGGGTTGACTCCTCAGTGGCGGCCGTCCTCCTGCAGAAGGCCATCGGGGACAGGTTCCACGCCGTGCTTGTGGACAACGGCCTGCTGCGCAAGAACGAGGCCGTGGAGGTGGTCAGCCGGCTCAAGGTGAGAGATAGGGGGGCGTCGGGATGGATGGATGGCAACAGAATCAGCTAGTTTGAGGAGGACGTGGTGGCGGTAGTGGTAGCAGAAGAAGGTGTTGGTGTTGGTGGTAGTAGTGGTGGAAGGTGGTGGTGGTAGTAGTAGTAAAAGTGAAAAAGGAAGTGTGAGCAGTAGTAGTTTGGTGTACTAGTGGTCGGTACATCAGCGGCGGTGTGTGTCCTCAAGCAGAGAGGGAGGAGGCCGATGGGGCGGATGACTACAGTTGGTTGAGGAGGACGTAGTAGTTTTAGTAACAGTCGGTACATGCAGTATGTTAGGTCGACTCAAGTTGAGAGAGAGGGGGCCGCCGCTGGGATGGATGGATGATTGCTCCTGTCGGCACGACACCGGTTGTGTGTATGCCATTTTTTACCAAACGTCAACCGCGCTTACCGTCTGGGCAACGAAAAGACCCGTCAGTCTCAGTGCGGTTGAAAACAGAAACTGCCTCTAATGCCATGAGCTGGGACCCCGTGAGGGGGCGTCTTGTGTGTGTGTGTTAGAGTCACCTCAAGAGGGATGGATGAATGACGACAGATGGTGGAGGAGGAGGAGGAGGAGGATTGCAGTAGTATGAGAAGCAATAGTCGCAGAAATCAGAAACTACATTGGTTTGTGTGTGTGAGAAAAAGTCGCCCCAAGGTAATAGAGAGGTGACCGTGGTGGTGATAGATGACAACAGTTAGTTGAGGAGGACGTGGTGGGTGTGGTACCATCCAAGAGTAGAGAAGCGAACGGTTCATCAGTGGTTGGTGCTGTTGAACGATGCTGAAAAGGTGTGCGCGCTTGTGTTTGTCTGCGTCCCCACGATACTTCTATTGTGACATTTCAGGAGAAGCTTGGCATCAACCTCCACTGCGTCGACGCCAAGGACCGTTTCCTGACCCTTCTTGACGGGTGCACCGACCCGGAGTCGAAGCGGAAGATTATCGGAAAGACTTTCATTCACGTGTTTCAGGTAAATGCGATTTTGGGAGATCATCGGGAAGACTTTCGTTCACGTCTTTCAGGTAATGCGATATTGGGGGGATCATAGGAAAGACTTTGCGTACGCGCCTCGTCAGGCATGTACCATGCCACCAAGTGTAAACAGCGTGGGTGTTTTTGTTGGACTTCATGTTTCATTTCTTTTGGAAAGACGTTTGCGCGAGCAGGGGGCAGGCGCGACTCTCTTTGTTGTTGTTTGAGAGGTGGTAAAAAAGAAACGGGGTACAGTACATCCAAAAATTATGCATGAATGTCTTGGCTGGTGATGCTGCTGCTGCTGCTGCTGGCGCTGGCGCTGCCGCCGCTGCCGGGTTTTTGTGTGTTTGTTTGTTTTTCGCGGGGCGCAGGAGGAGGCGGAGCGCATCGGGAAGGTGGACTTCCTGCTGCAGGGAACCCTCTACCCGGACGTGATCGAGAGCATCAGCTACAAGGGGCCCTCGGCCACCATCAAGAGTCACCACAACGTGAGAGCTAGCTAGCCATGTAGCTGCAGTGCCACCACAACGTGAAGCTGCCGTAGCTGGCTATCTAGAGTGCAACAACCACAACGTGAGAGCTAGCTTGCCATCTAGAGTAGGGCCACGACGACGTGAGAGCTAGCCGCGGTCTGTCTGGCCGCGCACCCGCAAAGACGCGCTCCAGATTTGTTCATGGTTTTTCTAAACACAATATGAAGCGTTTTTCCTCTGTCCACAGACAAGGGTGCGGGGTAGGTTGGCAATGCTTCGTACTGGCCACGCACCAGCACAACGCGCTCCAGATTTTTTTGTATTCTTGAAAAACGTGTTTTTTCTTTATCCACAACAAAACCGAAGAATTTTCCGCGTTTCCGCTCGATATTCCCTTTTGTCACGCCGTTATTCAACACAGGTCGGAGGGCTACCTGACACGATGCACCTCAAGCTCATCGAGCCACTCAGAGAGCTGTTCAAGGTGCGAAAGGGATTGTATGTTTTTGTTGTTCTGGCGTTGGTGATGTTGTCGTCCTTGTTGGCTGGTTTTTTATTCGGATACCTCTTTTTTGGGACACAAAGTTCTTGCGTGCGTAGAGCCGCTTCTGTCGTCGGTAATTTGCGTGCGTACCACTGATGCCTTCGGGGTGCGCTCACTAAATTGCAGTGTCACCAACCGGTGATGACGCAACCTGAAAATCAGGCGGCCCAGAGCTGGCTGGTAGCTCTTGTCAGTTGTGACGTTCCCCGAGCTCAGCAGCTCGCTCAGCCGACGGTGTGTTTTAACTCGAAGAGTGTGTCTTAACTCGAAGAGTGTGTCTTACCTCGAAGAGTGTGTCTTACCTCGAAGAGTGTGTCTTAACTCGAAGAGTGTGTCTTACCTCGAAGAGTGTGTCTTACCTCGAAGAGTGTGTCTTACCTCGAAGAGTGTGTCTTAACTCGAAGAGTGTGTCTTACCTCGAAGAGTGTGTCTTAACTCGAAGAGTGTGTCTTAACTCGAAGAGCCCGACGAACCTCGCCGAACCACAACGATATTTTTCAAGAAATCTGTATACGACAGCAGTACCGGGTCTTATTTTGTGCTTGTCGAGCCCCTCAGGGCAGCTTTGCATACGGAGGCATCATGACTCCTTCTTGTACTGTGGGCATGCGCGTCGTAGTTGTTGCCTTGGCATTATGAAAACCTTTCCGGTGTGAGAAAAGACTGGCATGTTTTCATTGGGTTAGCTAGGGCGGTCGATGCTAATAAACACAAACACGGGGTCCCAGATAATGATGGCCTTTTGAAGCATTGTCTGTTTTTAATGGCGCTAAAATTGATGTAGTTAGTTGGTCAGCCAGTTAGTTGACGTGGTCCTTCGATGCTAACGTTAACGACACTCACGCACACGTGCAGGATGAGGTGAGGTCGTTGGGCATGGCCCTGGGCATGGATGAGTTCAGCGTGTGGCGGCATCCTTTCCCTGGCCCGGGCCTTGCCATCCGGTGCCTGGCGCCACTCAGCGAGGAAAACCTTTCCATGGCGCGAGAGGTATGTAGGAGTATTTATCTGCATCGGTGGTTTTTCGTTTTTGTTGTTGTTATTGTTGTTGTTGTTGTTGTTGGTTGGTGGTGTTGCTGATGGTGTTGCTGATGTGATGTTGACGATGAAGGGTGGACTTGTTTTTGTTGTTGGTATCGTCGCCTGGTGTTGTTGTTGTTGCTGCCGCTGTTGGCTGCTGTTGCTGCTGCTGCTGCTGCTGCTGCTGCTGTTGTTGCTGTTACTGGGTTGTTTTATGTGTATTACTGTGTGGCTTGTGGTGGTGCTATCATCGTCGTTGTTGTTGCTGTTGTTGCTCGTTGTCATCGTTGCTGTTGTTTTTTGCCATCGTGTGTGTTTGTTTGTCGTTGTTGATGTTCCTCCGTTGTAGCACAATTCCGTCGAAACCCCCCTCCCAGGGGTGCGCCACTCTCTTGCAGAACCTGAACCTTGTCGAGGGGTTGATTTCCCCTTCCCTGTACAACGCTGTAGCGTTCGAGTGTCCTCTCAGAAGAGACGCTCGTAGTCACGAACACCGTACATGTCATGGCCTCTTTTGGTCTTGTGTTTGATGTTTTGACAACCTCCGTTGACAGCGCTTTGTTTTGGTGTCTTGCCTGCTTCCTTGACAACGCTGTGCTTGGTGTCTTGACCGCCTGGTTGGCAACGCTGTGTTTGGTGTCGGGACCACCTCATTGACAACCCTGTGTTTCGTGTTTTGACTGCCTCAATTCGACCTCTCTGTGTTTGGTGTCTTTGGCTGCCTCATTGACGACGACACGACAGGCGGATGCCATCATGATAGAGGAGCTCAACCGGGCCAACGTGTACCGGGATATCGGACAGGCCTTCGCTGTGCTGCTTCCCGTCAAGAGCGTCGGGGTCATGGGAGACTGCAGGTAGGAATCGGGGTTGGTCTCGTGTGCTCCAACACCCTTGTGTGTAGCCCCCCTCCGGTGTGTGTGACCCCTCCCTGGTGGTGCGCCCCGTAGCTGTAGCGAAGGTGCAAGGACCGACAGCCAGTAAAAACAAAAAAAGAACGATAGTGTAGTGTCAGGCCATGGGGGTGATGGGCGGGCAAAGAACGACATCCAGTAAAAAAAAATGAAAACACTATGGTAGTCCAGCCGTGAGAGTCATGGGGAAGGAACGACATCCAGTGAAGGAGAATGAAAAAACGAATGTAGTCCAGACCGTTGGGGTCATGGGGAGACCGCAGGTGACAGCAGGGTTACACGGGAGTTCCACAACTCCTGTGCATCCTTCTTCCCGTGTGTGTCATCGGCTGATGAATCCAATAGTACTGTTGAGAGGTGTACAAGACTGACGTCCCGGATAGAGGGGGTGATATATGAAATACGGTAGTCGTTCAGAGCGGCAAGAGTCATGGGACGTGCAGGTAAAAAAACGGGGTTTGCCCTTGTGTCAGTCGATACCCTGCCGTAAAAAGGTTCGCACAGGGGTGTCAGGACGTTTTTTTGTAGCTTGGTGTTGGTGCTGATTTCGATGCTGCATCTGGCTGCTGCTGTTGTCGCCGGAGCGGAACTTGATGCGTCTGCTTTGGCTGTTGCTTGGCTGCTGTTGTCGTAGATTCTGCTGATCCTGCTGCTGCTGCTTGTGCCACCGCACATCCTGCATCTGTCTGAACGGACACCATCTACCCCGCCTTTGACTCCCTTTTGTGTCGCTGCCGTTTTCTCCTCGTTCGGTGGTCGAATTCTCGTTCCCCTGTATTCCGCTGTCGCTGCCACTGCCGCTGCCGCTGCTTTCCCCTCTGTCGACGGCCCTGGAAATTTCTCCGAATTTTCTCCGCAGAACCTACGAGAAGGTGTGCGCGATCCGATGCGTGCAGACCACGGACTACATGACGGCGGACTGGTACCATATGCCCTACGAGGTGCTGGGGAGGATCTCGAACAGGTCGGGTGCAGCAGAAGTACAATGGGTTGGGTTTACGGCCCGTGGCCGCATGCAAGTTTTCTTACAAGGAGAAGTGATGTGGCCTGCATGGTTCCCATCATGGTGCGTCACGACGTTTTATTAGTGTTGGGGATGTCATATTCTCGGTCGGTTTTTGTTCTGTTCAGGCTCCACGCTCGGTGTCGTTTTCCCGTACGGGACGTAGGTCACGTTGTTGTTGTTGTTGTTGTTGTTGCTGTTGTTGTCTTCACATTTAACAACCGTTCCGGTCTCCGCTCACCGCTCAGTACCTTTTAGTGTCCGTACTATACTATACCCTACTATACTACATTAGTACAACTGACGCAGACTGCTTTCGTGGTCACAAGTAGGGTGCCGGAAGCTTGTTTTTCAAAGCCCGAGTGGTCCACACGACCAAGAGAAAACCCCAAGAACTGAATCGAGCCCTGCTGCAGCGTACTGTTGTTGTTGTTGTTGTTGTTGTTGTTGTTGTTGTTTTCACATTATATACTGTTCGGATCTCTCTACCCAGTACGTCCACCTGTCCGTACCATTCTAACACTTGACGCGGTCGATTTCCGTGGTCACAGGCTAACTTACCGAATAATGACATACCGTTTTCCTTTTTTTTTTTTTTTTGGTCCGAGAAGAGAGGGAGTCAGCAAGGTTCGGCGAAGCACGCTTGTTGTCTCACAGGAGACCCGTTTCCTTTGCTTTGAAGACTGTTGTAGTTGTAGGAGGTCGAAAGAATGTCGGTGTGACGGCAACACCGGCACGCGAACGCGAGAACACAAATACAAGCACGAACATCAATTCCAGGAAGACAGTCACCACAACAATGAATTTTTCAACAGCCAAGCAATTTTGACAGGAGCAAGAACAGGAACCAAGACCACCACCACCACTAACAACAACAACAACAACAACAACAACAACAGCAAACGCTCCTCTCAAAACCCGCATCCTTTCTTGTTTGCGACGAAAACGCTTACGCTCGTCGTCGTGCAGGATTATCAACGAAGTCCGAGGAATCAACCGAGTCACTTACGACATCAGCTCCAAGCCGCCGGCGACCATCGAGTGGGAATAAAACGGCGTCGAGCGGGAACAAAATGACACATCGAGCGGAAATAAAACGGCATCGAGCGGGAGTATAATGACATTTTGTGGGGATAAGAAACGATAGTGATAGCGTACGTGGAGAAGTGATCGGGATTCGGAAGCGGTGGGAGAGGGGGGGGCACTCAGATTTTGGCGTGCCCTACCTGTTAGACCCTTTAACTACGTGATAGTACGGAGCATTGTTCCCACAAAACAGCCGAGCATCAATGGCTAGTCGTTTCTTCCTGCTTGGCCATCGGACGGGGGGGGGAGGGGTTCATGGCGCGGCCCAGGAGGAATGGTGGGATGATTTTTTTCGTGCCGCTTGCTTAGGTTTTTGTTGAAGGTAGCGCTGACCTGCCGCCTCCCCTCTCCCCCCCCCCCCCCCGCGCCCTTTTTGGTGGGGTTCTTTCTCTTTGGAATGATTCCCAGATGATAGTCTCTCTCTGGCCAACGCCTTCCCAATTGTTGTTGAAGGCGTGTAGTCTCTCTTGTCAAAGGTGTTCCGCATAGTGTTGGAGGCCCAGTCTCCCTGCCCAGGATTTCCAGGTGGTGCTGGAGGTGAGAACGGTAGCACGTTCAGGCTCTTTTTGGTTTTGTGTGTCCTCCTATGTACTCCGAGAGGCGTTTTTGTAGGAGCGGGTGTTTTTTTTTTAAGAGTCCCGCTATACCTGCCCGAGGAGAAACGGTGAGGTTGAGCAACGTAGCCTTTTGAGGGGAAAAAACGAGAAATGAATTGATCTACTTGTGCTGTTTTGGGTTCGACGTTGTTTTTGTCTTGTCTGTTTACGTTGTTACCTGTTGGTGTTTCTGTTGTTGTTGTCTTCACATTAATTAAACAAAAATAGGGCTCGATCTCCTGCTTCTAGAAAGAACCTACCTTCGCGTGTGCTGGAATTGCGAGGAACGAACAAAAAGTACGGCGCTACCCATCCCCGGCCATTCATAATCGCGTTTCGCCGAAGCATTCCACCCGCATGGCAGTGGTTCGCTGTCAAGAGGGCAGAGTGTGTGTGCACTCATAGCCAGCCGCGCGTGTCGGAGTCGTTCGACCGTTGACCTCGCATTCATGCATTCCTACGAAATCAAGACGGAGCATGCCGGGTTTTCACCGGACGGACCAGGCTGTACAGCACATCACCAAAAGCGCGAAGCGCCGTGATGTGCCGTGATGTGTTCGGCCAGTCGCCTGGAGGGTGCGTTGCATCATGCAAAGGGTGTTCGGCATCTTGTTCTTCCTTCCTTGCGTACGGCTGACAGCTGCGGATGACCTACTTTAATACAATTAGTTGGGAGGGGGGTGTACTCATAGTCGTGCATGCCGTAGTCGTTAGACCATTGACCTCGCATCCCTACAAAGCCGGGACGGAGCACGCCGGGTTCTCACCGGACCAGGCTCTCACATCGCCAAGCGCGAAGCGCCGTGAGGTATTCGGCGAGTCGCATGAAGGGTGCGCAGCATCCTGCTAAGGGTGTTCGGCATCTTGTGCTTTCTTCCTTGCGTACGGATGACAGCTGCGTATGACTTAAATGTATTCTGGTGCGTTCACTTCCAGAGACAGTTATAAGCACTGTGTAGCTGCCTCGAGGATGCTTGATCATCCCCCTTGCGCGGAGTGAGGTTTCTCCACCCCGCACAACATGATCTACTCGACCACCATGATGGTTACCGCCCAAAAAAAAACAGAGGAAAAAAAACCGGTAACCTGGTTGCCGAGCTCACGAAGTGAATTGGCTTCTTTTACCACGTCGTTGCCAAGCGACGAAAACCCAACCCCGATGACAAACACCGGGGGGGGGGGGGTGGTTTTTTTGGGGGGGGGGCCTTTTACTGTACCTCCCTGCCCTGGATGGGGGTTCTAGGCTTTTTCCACCCTCTTCGTATTGGACAAAATTTGGCCCTCCTTTTAGGAAGGG